AATGCCAATGTCTAGTAATGACGGTAGGGTTGGACTTGGTGATCTTTGAGGTCTCTTCCAACCTGGTAGATTCTATGATTCTAAGAACAATTTTCAAGCTATCTTCAGGAAATGTCCTGTCTGTGGTATAATGGAATGCTTTGCCTAACTTTACTTCACAAGATGATAAACCCCAAATTACTAAACAATCAAGATCAAAATGGCAAATACTAACAAAGAAGATGAAGCTATAGAAAAGCCCACATGGACTATCTAAAAGAAATTATTCAATTGAGCCTAACATCCTTCTCTGACAGGGGTCCATGGCTTAATGAAAGTAAGGAGCCAGCTGGTGTGATGCACTTTTACATGTCTGCACAAAGCATTCTTCTAGCAAATGATGGACATATAGTCTAGGTGAAATAATTACAAGATTGGTGTTCAGCTAACTGAAAAAACTGTAATAAAGCGGTCCTCGGTGATACAGTGTCAAAATAAACAGACATTTCAAATATGGACCTGCAGGGCTCTGTCCAGAGTCACACTCTTCAGTATTTTCACTAACCAATAGAATGATGACAGACAGCATGCACGCAAAACATTTGCAGATGGTGACAATTTGGGAGAGTGGGCAGGAATGTTGAAATCTTAATTCAAAGGCATCTCACCAAATTAAAAATTGTAGAAAAACAGTAACTTGAAAATAAAAAAATTTATGCAAAGTACTACATTTAGGGAAAACTTGTTATGCACACACACATACACACACACACACACACACACACACATACACAGAGCTTCCAAACATAACTGAGAACATCTGCTGATATAGAAATACTGTATTAAGCTATCCAGGGTTTACAATGGACCACAAATTGAATAAATCAAAGTGAGATGGTTACAAAACAAGACAAATATCATTCCAGCATTCACAAAGAGGGTAATAAATAAAATTGTAACTATTATTCCATTTTCTTTGTCCTGTGTCAGCTAGGGCCACAATGAAACCACTGATGAAAAAACATGTGATGAAACTGAAGGAAGTCCAGACAAACACAACAAAGTCACCAGATATTTAGAAAACACAAGGAAAATTTGAAAATAATTCAGAAATCAGACCCCAAAACAGTTATTAAGAAGACAACTGTCCTCCACAGTCTGCACACAATAAAAGAGAATTTTCATTTTCAGTACATATAAAGAAAGTATTTTCAAGGCAAATAATGAATGACTGGGACAGACTACAGCATCCCGGTATGATAGGTCTCTGCTCAGGCTGTGGTGGGCTTGGGAGCACAACCTTTGCCTTGACTTTCTCATGTAGACTGTTTCATACAAGCAGATCTAAATGCAGGTGTTTGGACACATGCAGGGACACATGCTTCAACTGTTCCACTAGAACATGGGAAACTAAGGTCATTCTCATCTGGCCATGGGTAGGCACAAGATGAAACTTCAAACAGCTATCAGGATTGCATGCCCTGAACAATTGCTGACATAGTGGTGACATAGCAGGGGTCTTAACCACTGGCTGCATCAAGACAGAGAGCACTAACATGATCTTGGTGGTTTAGCTGTGCCTCCACTGCCATGGGATAGACTAAGCCATCTCTTGCTGTACTTTTTGGCCCTGTATTTATATGATTTTAAATAATTCCAGGCAGATCCAAGAGCAAGCAGGTACAGAGAAACAGGCCTTCAATAACTTCTCCATCAATACTGAGACATAGAGGCAGATTACAGTAAGAGGGTTTCCGGATCTGACCCTGTCTGGCTTGGTAAAATAGACCATCAGGAAAGCGAGATAATTCAGATCCAAAGTCTCTCACTTTAGGCATCATGATTTGAAGAATATAAAATCCATTAGCATAAAAAGAACTCTGTTTACATAGAATTTTACCATCAGAAGGATAATAAATAAATTTGTAAAATATGGCCAAGCTCCCTGATGACTACAATCATTCTGTATAAGCAGTCTAATATTAGATATTCCAAGTTACCAACTCTTTTTGTGACAAGCATTTCAAAGGAATGTAAGACACTGATTTCAGATAATCATGATAAACTAAGAAGCTTTATTTCCTCAGCAGTAGGTCAGACAGCTGTTCACACTCCGCACTTCTTACAAGTTAAAAATAACTTACCTCACTCCAGTTGCCTACTATCCAGTAGGCATCACCAAGCAAACTGTTGGATGTTATTAACTGGCCGTTTTCTGTGACATTCATTAAAGCACCCTCAAATGTCGCACTTTGGTTCCTCAGAGAATGCTTAAGAGCTGAGGATTGTGTGCTGGTAGTTATAGTGTCAGGTAGTTTTATTTCTCTTCTGTTGTCAGTTTGGTCTCTTGGTACATGACCAAGCATTGTGGGCATTTCTGTAACCAGTGCTTGTGGGGTAGGTACTTCTACAACAGGCACATCGACTTGCAGACTGATATAGTTTGCTGTCGGAAATGCCAACCCTTGTGCTGCTCTGCTAGCAGGAAGGAGCATAGAAGGGTCTTGGTGATGAGATGCTGGTGGAGACTGGGAAGTCACATTCTCATTTTGAAGGACACGAGGAACAGTGTCTAGGGTTGTGCTTCTGGTTCTGATTTCAGGATTGAGTTCTGTGCTGTAGGAGAGATCAATCATTTTTTTGCTAACTCCAAGTGGCCTATCAGTGTTGTCAGGTTCTTCAGTTAAGTAATCATAGCTGGAAGTGATTTCTGGATTACTGGTAAAAAAGGAAACAGTAGTGTCCTCACTTCTTTGCATCTTACTCTCTACAGTAGAAACTGGCTCACTTTGAGAAGTATTTTCAGCATGCTTAATAATTTCAGGACTTAAGCTGTTATGAAGAAGCTGTGAAGTAGTATTTGGATGTAAACTATTTTCAGTAGAAACAACCAGGTAATTGTAAACATCACTTGGTCCACCAAAATTATTTTTTAATGTTCTGTTGACTGTTGCCTCTGTTCCTGAGATATTACCCAAACCAGAGGATGTAGGCAAATAGGGAGTTACACTTTCAGGCTTGGGTATTTTTGTTGTTGTATTGGGTCTTGGGCTTGGTCTGAGTATTCTGCGAGGAAGACCGCGTTCGGGGTTAGGAGTTGTTTTTCTGATGATGATCTTGCCTCTTCTGGGTGCCAGTGGAGGCACCAGAAATCTTCCAGCAGAAGGGCATTGTTGGAGACCACACAGAGCCTTAGAGTTTGGTCTCTTGGAACTGTCACATGGCTCATCATTATTTTTGGCACAAATGACATTACGAGTCCTTATTCCACCACCACAAGTGACTGTGCACTGCAAATGAAATAGAATTAATGTATCCCCCCTCTTCATTCTGCTGCACATATCAGAAAGTATCAGATGACATCAGATGTATCATAAAGAAGCATCATTATAAATAATCAATTACAAAGCATTTCCTGAAGAATAAGCTCTTCATCCTAGTGATGTTCTGCTATATGACAGTACTCAGAGCTATGCAACTTCACATTAGCTGCAATTTGACTTAGGAAATTATTCAGCAAAGGATTTTGCTTATTGAGGAAGACAACTACTAACACTATGCTGCATCTTACATGGAAACACAATTCACTTATTTTGTCAGACTTTACCACTTGAGTGGTTTACATTAGCATTCAAGGGAGTTAAAAGGAACATCCAACCTTATTAACTTTTTGGGGTAATGACTGTCTTCCAGAACTGGCTGAGATTTCAGAATGGCTACAAGATTCTATCCTCATTATCTGTCTAATTAAGTATGTATAGTTTGTAGGACACAGAATGATCTTCTAACAGACAGATAAGTTAGAGCAAAAGGAAGTTTTATCTGTGTAAAATCTCTCTCTTACATTCACCAATTATGAACATTCTGCAGTTACAAATCTCCTGACAATCCTGTCATTTGTGCAGGCAAAATAGTCTGTCCTACACTCCTTCTCCAGTTTCTACAGACATAAAAATTTTTGTCAGTAAGTTGCAACTATAGTCCAATGGCACATGAGCACTGGCAGCATGCTGTTTCTACATAATTGTACTGCTAGTCATGTAACCCCAGTCTCTTTTGACCTGGAATTTAAAACATGGTGATTACTCAATTAACAAAACAATCAACATTCTGCAATTATGGTTTGTGAGCAGCATAAACCAAACTCATACTGTCACAGAATTTTGTTAGTTCTGATCTCACATCAGTGAGCCTAGTGAAAAAAAAAAAAAGTTAGGAGAAGGAGGGGAGAGGAATTTTCAAAAAAGAACAGAATATAATAGAATATTGTATTTTCAGTTGGAAGGGACCTACAGTGATCATTGAGTGCAACTGCCTGATCACTTCACAGCTGGCCAAGAGTTAAAGCATGCTGCTAAGGGCATTGTCCAAATTCCTCTGAAACACTGATAAGCTGAGGGCATTGACCACCTCTCTAGGAAGCCTGTTCCAGTGTTTCACTACCCTTCCAGTAAAGAAATGACTCCCAAAGTCCAGTCTGAACCTCCCCTGACACAGCTTTGAACAATGCTCACATATCTCCAAAGCTTGCATACTATGGGGAAAAAAAGGCAGAATCATGAATGCAAGAGATACGAATGTAAATAACGCAAAAATGCCTCTTTGTAGGCCTACAGACATGACATACAGCCTCCCCCCCAGTCTGGTCCACAGCAGCAATGAGTGCCACACAGACTTTTTAGCATTTGAGCACACTCTGTTCTATAGTCCCAAAAGATCAGCAAGTCAAGAAACAGTTAATACACAACACTCGCTGAGGTCTTTAGCAAGCAGTCTTGCTTTTTACTTTCTGCACAAAGGATTTGTGAAGACATGTTTAGCAAAAAAAATTATACTAAAAAAGAAAGCAAAAAGGCAGGTCATTGGCCCTCTCTGCTGACTATAAAAGGTCATCTGGAAAAAACGGTTCAATATTTCAGTTGATGCAAATTTACCTCAGTCCAGTTGCTCACTGTCCAGTCAGATGGGCACAAGACTTCCCTGTTGCATGACAGATGAGTCTTTGGTTTAAGCAGGTGCTGGCACTCTGTGACAGTCAGCACCTGCTCATCAGATCCCACCGTCTGGATGCAAAGTACAGTTCGCTTCTTCTGGCCTGTTGGGCCACACGTGGTTGAACATTTCTGCCATTCCCCTGCCCACCACCTGAAAACCAGGGGTGTGAGAAACATCATAAAACAACCCATCACAAGCACATTAAGGAAAAGGTCAGAGATTACAAGAAAAAGAACCAGTAGTTTAAAATCTGGGTCCAGATACATGCTCTTCACAGTAAGTCCAGATCACTCAAGTTTTCCCATCTGCCCTGTGCTCTAGTACCAGTCACTGAAAGACAGAAGTAGGCATGACACTCAGACAGAAGTGAGTACTGAGTATTACATTTCTATGAAGTGCAAGAAGTCACGGAGTAGATGGTGTTTCAAATCCAAATTTGAAGAACTGCTAGCAAGTCTATTTAAGCAAGTAATCTATTTACTCTATTCTACTGTTTATCTGTTTATTGCTACCTCAGTACAGAAGAGTTAACCAATGAGAACAACTGGGGGGTCTGCAATGACAGCATAGAGGTGGAGAAGGTCCCCTTACATGTCTTCACAGCCTGTACGAGTGCTCAAACTGGCCCTGTATTACCTCTATAAGGGAAAGCAGCAAGGCATGCAACCCCCAAAACAAGTTAGTCAGAGACATGCTATGTGTACCCATGTGGGATCAGTGTGGTGCTGTCCTTCTGGGCCTAGTATCCAGGTCTGCACTAGGCTGGATTCTTCTGCCTTTTGTTCCTTCAGGAACTCAAAACAAGACCCTTATGCGTCTCTTTCCTGATTAAAGTCAGTCTTCCATAATGTGGTATGCAATGGCCCACCAAATTAACAATAACTGTTTCCTCTGATGCAGTATTTGCCAATACGAAACACCTTATTGACAAGAGCCATCCCCTTTATATTTGGTTTCCCTTAGCCTTTCTCCAGCTTCATCCACCTATTTTTTCTCATGCCGACCCAGAGTAAATTGAATATCTGCATACCTGCCTTTCATGACAAGAAAGGGGAGCAAAACGTTTTGGTTTTCTGCTATTTGAGAAGCATTGGCATCAACTGTAACATCTGGCTAAGTATTTACCTTTATACTTACAAAAAAACAACAAACAAACAAAGAATCAAACCACAAGAAGCGTTTTTCCTTCCAGTTTAGAGTGCCCTAGACAAGAACACAGCTTCAAACTGCTCTATAAAAAATCTGCTGTGAACTCTAAACCACAAAAGCTCCTAGACAATATTACTTGTTCCTGGAGTTTTGAAGGAGGACATGACAAAGCCTTATGAGGAAAACAAAGTAGGGATATATTTAGAAAACACCTTTCTAGACAAAAAGGCAGAAAAAATTACTTTTTACAACCAACATTCTATTGGGTTTTTTTCCTTTTAAGGTCCAGAAACGTAGAGAAAAAATAATCCCATTCTGATAAATACATCAAAGTTTAACATCCAGATGTATAACAGACTTTGCCCCTTGCTTCATCTCCCATCTTATTGCACTTTTGCTTTCTTCAGTTTGCTCATAGAATAATAAAATCATGAAGGGTGGAAGAAACCTCTAAGATCATCAAGTCCAACCATTAACCTGTCACTTCGCCGTAAACTCTAAACACTCCCAGGGATGGTGACTCCACCACCTCCCTGGACAACCTATTCCAACACCTGACCACTCTAACAGTGAAAAATGTTTTCTAACATCTACTCTGAATCTCCCCTGCCTCAGCTTATGGCCATTCCCTCTGGTCCTCTCACTGCAGGCATGGCAGAAGAGACCAGCCCACACCTCACTATAACCCTCTTTCAGGTAGTTGCAGAGAGCCATGAGGTCACCCCTGAGCTGCCTCTTCTCAAGGCTAAACTCAACTCCTTCAGCTGTTCCTCATATGATGTGTCATGTGTTCTACATCTTTTATGAGCCTTGTTGCCCTTCACTGGACACGTTCCAGTGCCTCAATATCCTTTTTTAAGTGAAGGTCCCAAAACTGAACACAATACTCATGGTGACAGTTTCTCTCTCCTTTCCACTCTAGTTTCAATGTTCCTTAATTAATTTGTTCATAAGTTGCAAATGAGCTATAACTAATGTGGAAGGCATCGATACCTATTCCTAATAATTAAAAAAACCCAAAACAGTCTAGACTTAGAGCAATCCAACCATGGATACAGCTTACTTGTGCAGTCACTTGGTCTTCTCTGTGGTACCTAGACTTATCTTCCTTCTCTTTAGTTATCAAACCCTACAGCGTTTCCTTTTAAATTACCCTAGAAGATCTGTGAGGCACCAACTGCTTTGCTACATCCTCTATACTGCAGCCCATTGCCACCACAATCCTGTGGAGAAGTCTGTGTTGCTGCAACAAAAAAAATAGCTACAAAAACAACCAGCAAAAATGACAACAAAATAAAACCATTCAAAATATTTTTCTCTTCCTCCTGCCTTCCTTTGGATTGCTTCTTGCTCTTCCAGGTTTCTGTAAACAATAAAACTAAGAAGTAGGTAAGAAGTGTGCACACCTCAGCAGAACGCAGCAATAAAAAAGAGAATAATATATTGTCACCACCTGAATCAAGCTCTTTCAGGGTTGTTTTCAACTCTTGCATCTTGTTTCCAAACACCCGATTAATTTTAGTGGAACCAGATCACATATTTCAAGCCACAGACATGCTAAGCTGACAGCCCTTCCCCTCACTGTTTTCAAGTGGCTCTGAGTGAGGGTTCAACAGCCTGCAGGTTTAAATACGAAACTCGTAGCAATAAATTATCAGAGCTTACAACAGAACCTATCAAGCAGCAGCAATGGTGTGTGATTAATTATTGTACACAAAACATTTTTTAAAAAACATGGAAGAAAGTAAGGTGCTCCACAGTTACAAAATCCCAGAATTAAAATTTGATCATGAAGGTGATCAAACTTCAGTTACATTTATGATCATGATCAAACTTAAGTTACATTTAGTCATGTAACTTTTTCTGTAGAGTTCTTCCTCACTCAGTGCAGGTAACAGACAGTACTGGTGAGCCAAGCAGTTAATTGTCTGACATCATGTTTGTCATGCACGTTTCAAAACACTTGCTATGACTGGAAGTTTATTCTTATCAGTAACTGGAATTTTCGATGTCGTATTTTCCTATTTTCATTCTACAATACATGAGAAACCTGACAAGGAAGCACATGCACTCTTGTCTCTTCATTGTCCCTGCTGAGGACCGGAACTGTGGCATCTCAGCCAAAGACAAAGAAAGGCAAAACAGGAACAGCAAAACATCTACTGTCCCATTTGTCACTTCTGGTACAGGGTGTCCCAAAGCAGGTTCTGGACCACACAGAAGGGATCAGCACCGAAGTGACAGCTTTGTCAGATTACTTGGAGCTTTTGCTGTCTCCTCACACTGCAGAGGCATAACTAAAACTGATGCTGAGCACACATCCACAACTGACACAGCAATCTGAGATTCAAATGTGCAACTTCTGAGCTGAAATAACCAGGCTGTTGGACCTCCCAGCCATACAGTAAACCATGGAGGGCACTGCTAGACAGACAGGCCTTGCTTTGGGTGGGTTATAAACAATGTTTTATTTAGATTACAAATAGAGAGATGCTTAGCAAAGAAAATGATAAGGGAAAGAAAACCAGCAGGTATCTGTGCTGACTGTGGTGAGAGACTGGGACAAACTGGCAGAAACTGAAGCCAGATGGGAGTCGCCATCCAATACTTGATCCTACCTATGGCTTCTAATGATGTTTACCACTACAGCAACTGACTGGTTCTTAAGTATTAGTGCATCACCTGGCCCCTGAAAAGTGAAACAAATGTCTTATCTCCACAGGCAGGCATGGCATGGAAGGATTGTATTAACAAACAAGCAAGCAAAATGCACGATTTGGGAAATTAATTTCCATAAGCATTAATTTTACTGAGACTGTCATAGCAGAGAGCAGTCAGGTGAAAACATAACCTCAAATAGTTTTCAGCTGCAGCTATGAGTGCTCAGCTCTTCTCCAATAAAGCCTAGGACAGAGGCAGGAAGAAAATCTGATTTTTTTCAAGTGGCATTCTGCTGCCTTAAATGAGACCTATCTGTTTTCCTCTCATTCTGAGTTTTCAAGGTTTGTAACAAATGAGGCAGAGCCCGAAAGCCTTCTCTGTTACACAGTCCTCATCTATACCTAGATGATGTGTTCTGAATGAGGTGTGGATCCTGTTGAAAAAGTAGCATCATGGGATTTTGGAATCAAAATTTGCTATACTCATGCCTATGGAGCAGAATATTCTCTCCCTCCCTCCCGTATCCCTCACCATGCCATATCACACCTAAAGAAATACTGTCTTTCGTTATGTATTTGTTTAGCATCAGGCACAGCAGCTACCAACACAGCATTCATCCTCCCTCTGTGTGTTATACTAGAAACAAGATTTCCTATTCTTGTTATGCTGTTGGAAGTCTACCAAGAAGTCTGGAAAGAGGACAATACAGTAACACCAGATAAAAAGCAGGAGATTCCAAGTACTCGTAAACTAATCTATTTATGCTTACTCTGCCCAAATGGGTAGTCAGGTTACAAAGGTTCCAGGCAATTTTCTTTATAGGGGAAAGGAAGACTTTTATTGACAACACTATGAGTAGTTGAAACCTCACTCATTTTCAAGTATATCTATTGATTTTTATCATTAATAACTGTGGAACTAAATACTTGCCTAAAAAAGAGACGTAACTGGAAACCAAACTCCATAACATGGAAAAAAGCATGCATTTATACTACAGTCTTGTTGCACTCCTGCTAAGCCATATCACTCAAGTTATATATGAGTGGTTGTATGACATTTTAACTCTCATCTGTCCAGCTATCTTTATTTTGTTCTGAGTCAAAATATGGCATACATGTATTGTGATATTTTTAATATTTTATTCATTTTTCTCTGATTTATTTTAACAGAAAGTGTAACAATAATTGTAATAGTAAGTGTAAAATAAATGTAGAACAAATCATCTAACAAACAAAAATGTTAAGACTTAGACTTCTGGGAAGCCTGTAATTTAAACAGTTTGTAACTAACTTTCTGAAATCGATTAATGAGGTAAGATCTGGTTTGTGAGAGTCACAAATATTTTATTTTTGTCTGTTGCTACTTTTTGATAAATTATCTATTTCTGATCTGATGGTCTAGTAGCTCATTTAATGGTAGAATATTTTCCATCAGTGGGATTTAGCAAATCATCAAAGGGAAGTTATCCAAGAGAACAACCTTCTTTTTTAGACAGGATGTTTCATGCAAAAAACCTGTTCACTGTAAAGTTCACTGTTCGGAAGTGCAAAGTCATCCAACCATTTCAGTTCTGTGACTGCAGCACTAAATAAAGGTCTTCTGCAGTGTTGTGTTTATCAGTGTTGTCTTCACCTCAAGCATAGAGCCTAGCCACCTCTCTACAGAACACTTGGTCTTTAGTAGCTTTATGTGGACACTCAGCTATCCAGTATCATGCCATATGGGACAGTCACACCTTCCTCCAATGTTCAGATCTCTTTAGAATCAATGAACTAACAAAGTGCACTAAATTGCCTTGCATTTCAAATGCATAACCATCTTTCTGGATTATAGGTAACACATGTGTCATGGAAAGTAAATGGAAACTAAATCCCATGCTGGTACTACAGCTTTGAACAGAGAGCAGATGTGCAAAAGTAAAGGCTTGGGAGGGGTGAATAGTATTTCAGTCTTCACTGCCATCTCTTTCAACAGAAGAACTCAGGGCCACCAAAAGAAGTTAGTGATAGCCAGGTTCAAAATAATTAAAATGAGGTGATGCTCCACAGTAGGCAATAGAGCTGTGGAACTTCTTGCAGAGGCAGTTTTATATAATAGAAGTTCTGCAAAGTTGCAGAAAGTACTTGGAAGAAAGAATCCTAGGAGGTTGATAATCAGACAACCCACAAAATCCTCTGGAAATACCTTCAATTAAAACCAGTTGGAAGCTGGAAGAGTATTAGGAAGACATATAATTTATGTTTGCCTTGCCTCTACTCTTCCTTAGGCATTTAGGACCTGCTGGGAGCCAGAACAGAGAGAGATTTAGATAGTCCCTTGGTCAAACTACTACAGTCACTCTTATGTTATTAAGAGAAAAATAAATATACAGCATGTTTCTAGAACCAAATACATATAGTTTTCCTGCACTGCATTTTGTCATTATTTTGCTGGCCGTAGAAGGATGGCAGGTGCTTCCCTCTGCAGTGCAGAATGAGCTTAAGAAGCATCACTCAGGCCAGCAGCACATGAGAGCATTTCTGCAGAAGAGCATGGTTCACATATCACATAGATCTACAATCTGCTCAAGAAGGGCCAAATTCTGGTCCCTCACTTCCAAGAGCAGGTCTGAATAATCTCTTCACTTAGAACCAATGACATAAATTGAGTTAATTTAAAACCCTGGAATTAATAGCACAGTTTATACATGTCATAAATAAAAAGCACTCCAATGTATGTGAGTAGTCTCAGCTCTTAACTAGTCAACTAGTTAATCAGTTTGATCTACTGTTAATTGAATTCCTAGCAATCTACAAAGAATTATGAAATGCTGGTAATCTAGGCTGCAAGTGCAAAGATGTAATTCCAGAGGAGGCATCATATACTGTTGTGAAGATACTTGGAAACAACTAATAACAATAGCCATGCAGAACGTTTTACACTAAAGTATCATGAAATTCACTGCTGGCAAATGCAACACAATGAACTCTAAGGGACTCATGACTTCAATTTGATTCTGATTGAACTAGAATTGCTTGGGAAAGACTAGTATACTACTGCAAACAGCATGATAAACAACTTTCAAAGACAATGAAAGACAAAAGCAAGATATTCCAGTACCTAAAGCATGAAGCTAAAACCAACATTGATCCCTTCCAACAAATCTGCACCTGTTATACAGTCCACAGTTCTGCCAAAATCTGGAATATTTGCTGTGGTTAGTTTTCCTTACTGTACTCACTAAAATGGTAGAACAGAAAAAACAGCGATGAAGATGAATTAAGATAGTGTTATGGAAATAACACTAATGGAAAAAGCAATTTCCATGTGATCATAGAATGAAGAAAGTCGCATGTTGCTAAAAGTTAAAAATAAGAAGGGACATGATAAAATGATGCCAATAACGTTTATAAAGAAAGTATAAAAATCAGTTGCAGAAGTGGACCGTGAGCGGAAGCTCTCAGCCTGGTAGACTATAGATGCCACCCTAATCTGGTGATACAAAGAAGCTAAAAAGATTAATCAATGATGTACTGGAAGTTGCTTACTAAACAATTGGCACTGCCTGCCTGTGCTTGCTCCACACTGACATGCATACTTCAAAAGGAAAGGATACTGACCAGAGCTAAGGAGGAATTGATAAGAGGAGTAGGCCCCAAGGAAAGAATTTAAGGAAGCACTGGGTGGGTAAACAAAGTAGGCTCCAAAAGGCAATTAAGGGCCTGTTGAGTGAACAAGGGAAGAAATAAATCAAGACAGTAGTTCACAACAGGGTGTTACCTTATCTTACCAATGGTATAGCACACTAAATTTAGGATTGCTTTAGCTTATTAACACACAAGAGTGCTGAGTTGGCAAAAAAAACAAGTATAATGCACATGTGCTAAGGGACGAGGTGAAAAGTTTAAGCTGATGATGACTACTAGCCTTCCTCTTGAAGACCCCTGCCCACGACCAGGAAGACCCCTGCCCATGACCACCTGAAGATACTGCGCAAGCGCAAACGCATGGAAATGAGTTTAGAGCTCATTATAATACGAAGCGGGGACAGGTTATGAATATGTCTAGGCGTTTAAGCAACCTAATGTATATGTAACACTTTCAGAGATAAATATAAAGAAAGGTGCTATAACAGTTGCACAAGTTTGGTGGAGCGACCCCCCTTGTGCCCAGCGCTGAATAAACAAATACCTGCTACTCAGAGATGCAAGTCTGTGAGTAGTTTTTTTTACAGCTTTTCTCGGCATCACTGGTATCAGAGAAAACATCTTCCTTTGAATAAGGCTGCTATTTGACGTCACCAGAACCCTCCCAGTATCCATTACCTGGGTGGACAGTCCTTCTCGTAGCATTTCTTTTGCCGCCCGTTCGGCTTTGTTGCTGGATCGCAGAAGGAGTTTTTGATCGCTCCGCTTCCCTTCCACACGCAGTGAGCGATCTGGCGCCGCACCCCTGCAAGAGAAAGACAAAAAAAAAAACCCCAAACAAACCACAGGAAAAAATAATCCTGCTAGGCTGGGGATGAGCTGCAGAAATCCTCCAGAATGGGGAGTACACACTGGTTCACCTCCACATTCCAGAATACAGTAACAGCTGTGAAAATCAGTTCTGCTGAGTATCTGGGCTACATGAGGTATTAGAATCCTTTAAAAGGGGTTAAGCAGAGCTCTTTTGGATCAGATAGCTCATGCAACACATTAGAAGGCACATTCCTTAATCTCAATACAGTTGTCAGCCTCAGAAAGGGCTCCTGCAGGCCCTGAAGCAGGTTTGAAGGGCTATGAATGCTTCTTGGATTATGTGAGGAGATGTTTTCACTTTCTGAGCACTTTCAGACTTGTGACTGAGACATACAAAACAATTAATGACTATAGCATAAGATTTGATCACTGACTCTCCTCCAGACATGAAGGGTTTTTTTCTAGAACAGTCATTAATGTCACCTACAAGAGAAAATTAAGGGACTGAGGCATTTCAAGCTCCAGAGCACACAGTGTGGAAGTAGCTATAAAACTGCAATGTGTCTGCATGTGGCAATCTCCTATTCCTAAGTGACTTCAAACAACAGAAAGCTTTTTGGTTCAGTGTATGACTCCCAGAGAGCAGTGCTCTCTTTTATGCTGTGGTAAATGCAACTGGAATATTTATTCAGCAACCCTCTTGCTAGCTGTAAACAAAGCAGTTCACAGAATTATGTCTCTGTTCCTTTCAAAATTATTATATGTTGCTGTTACAAATACAAATAAGCTTTTCCTTTGATAAATTTTTAGTGTCATTTCAGCTGCTGTAATTCACTTTAAAACCACCATAAACTTTTGAAGCTGTACATTCTCATAGAACATTTGCTGATTGCTGACATCAAAAAACTAATTTATTCACACAAACAATTTTTATTATGGAAGTTATGTGAACTCCCACTGTAGTTTCAAAATTTCTTGAAGTTCCGTTCTAAAAGCTGGAAGGAATCCTATATGCATATATTGATACACACATATATATGTAGGTATACATGTAATGACATAACAGAACAGTTGTTTTTTTCAGCTTCAGCTAGCTGAACTAGAAAATACTGCAAAAATAGAAAACTAGTCACCTCACGCTGACCCTGCCCTACCAAATATTTACATGGTTACATAACTCAAATGTGTAATATCGTATTTCATTCACAGATTGAATATTCTAAATATACTTAAACTGCAGAAAAAATTTCAAACCTAAACACTGTTTCTATAGGGCTGTGAGAGGCAGCTGTTTTCCTCCCTTCACCACTTTTACTTCTCTCTGACCTTGATGCTAATTAGTCCACACTGATGTGTACTATCTCACCTCTCTGAAAAACAAACCTAGAAATATTTCTGGGGAAAAAACCAAAGAGAAAACAAGAATGACAACAGCCAGATCAAAGGAAAGTCTTCATTTCACTAAATCTGCTCAGAGATTGCTTCTACTTCTCTGTGACACTACATCCCTAATGCAGGACTTTTTAGATGTGAAGTTCACCCACTCAGCTACTGATTTCTCAGTTGTTTTGCAAGGAAATGTGCCAGTTTAAAGTCATCTGACTGTGGAAGGCTTTTGAAACAGAGATTAGAAATCTGTTGGCTGCATAGCCCTCAGTTTGGGCAAAATTAAGGCTGAGAACAACAGGCCCAATGAAGGGCCAGAAGCAAGTGTATCAAAGGTGCATGCAAAAGAGCACATTTGATTGTAGAACTCATTTCAACATGTGACTGTCTCAGTTGTGCATTAAATCAGATACTCTGCAAGGAGTTCACTTTGCATTTGAATGAACAAATTATATTCTGTGCATGCACAAGTTATGTACAGAATACAAGAGTCAATCTTTGCATTCTAAGTGTTATAAAACTCAGACCCGTAGTAGCAATGGGAAATACACTGACCTTTGTTTTCTAAAATCAACACTACAAGTTTAGTACTACATTTCAGTTCAAGAACACTTGAAGATAATTTTGCAAAGCGGCCTTGATAACAGTTATGAAGGATTTAGAGGACACAAAACTATTAACCCCAAACAAATCTTAAGTTATGTCCTTTTGCAAAGCTTTGAAAATTTGCCAATTACTGATGCTATCTATGGAGAAGTAAATGGTTGATGTTGCTCAATATTCTCCCATAGCTGCAGCTGTGCTGTTATGCTTCTTATGTTTAATGCCACTTCAAGCTGGTTCTAAGGAACATGATTAAAGCCTTTAGACAAGGATGAAGGATTAATACTTGTAATCCCCACCTTGTCTATCCTGTGATTCTGTGATTATTTAAAGAAAGAGTAATAGGTAGTTGGTCTAGAAAAAAACCCTCAGTGATACATTCATTTCATCTGCCTGTATAAAACCTTAAGGGCTCTAGTTGCTGTCTTGACAGCAAGCTCTGGAAGGACATGCTCTTGGCTGTGCTTCTGTCCAGTGTGCACACATTCTGACTGCAAAGCAATTCTTGTCTGCATAAAGCAAATGGCAGGAAGACACTCAACCTGCCCTGCACCCAGGACAGAGCAAGCCTTACAGACTTTACTATAAATTATCTCCTTCAGTGCTTGTTTGCCATGAACCTGATGGCAATGCAATTACTGATCTATTTTCTACATTGCAAATTAATATCAGGTATTGCAGTGTGTTCTCCTTTCCTCTGCATGCAGCATTAGGTATGTTTGCTACAGAAAACACTGATTTTTCACACAGTATTTTTTCCCCATTAAATGGTGTTATGGTAGACTGGCCAGACCCCCTTTTTTAGACTACAAAAGACGGGGGCACACAAAGGGAATGAGGGAAGACACGAGCACATTTGGATCTTCTGGTTTGCTGCTGCAATGGAGCTGGAGAAGGGTATGCATCAAGGCAAGGCATGGTGCTACCTTAAGGCCAAGAATCTTGTGGAAAGTATCTTCAGGAAGCTGCCCTGGGTTCGTTCTGCAAAGAGACAGCTTCACTCTACAAAGTCATAATTCTTCATTGAGGGTTTTTCCAGGTATATTTCCCTTGGATAAGGAGCTGTATCATAGGGCTAAAACCAGAGGTTTTTTTCTCTTAGGACAACTCAAACTTTCCTGCATCAGCTCATTCCTCTGCTTGTAGTCCAATTTGTCACTCCCTTACTCAGTTTCACATTCCTGGCTTCAGAACGCATTTGTTTGCATTGTCCTGATCTCTGTGGCTACAAAAAGCCAGCGTGTCCTTGGATTTACTACAATGTTGTTGACCAGTGGTGATGAAAGGATCTACACTGAGTCTTTGGCAGATACAAGTTTGCCAGAACAAACATCTAGGTAAGAATCAATTTCTCTCATTGACCGTTTCTGTCAAAGTTAGTTCAACAGTTCACCTTTCTTGGCCCTCTTTTTTATCTTAAAAAACTACTGATTTATTGTTTACCAAATAGTAACTGAAATAATCCTTGAAGGTAATTTACTACTAACCTTAGACTAAGTAAGTACAACTTCTCTGATTTATGTATCTGTAGGCTTGTCTTCAGTAATACTTGTCATGTAGCACAAGCATAGCAGAAGATGATTTTGCCTACTTCGATACACTTTTATCTTACAAACTTTACAAAACACTTTAAATGCCAGAGGTTTGGCACAACAGGCATGTTACTGCCAACAGCAATAAATTTTGAATCTAAAGCAGAGCGAACATTCAGATAAAATCAATCTCATCATTCAAAGCCAGAAGGAAGTTCTGTGGAAGTCAGAGAAAGGTTGGTTCTAAGTCAACAAATACTACCATGCCCATATTACCTGCTAAGTGTAGCAAGACTTTAGCATTTCCAAATTTCCATAATGATGGAAAGATAAAATTTTCCAAATATACCTTCCTTGCTGCAAAGCTCCAGCTATGATTCATGGTGTTTTTGTCAACTAGCTCAGATTTAGTGCCAAGCTAATATGACAACAGGAGTGTTGATCTTCTGGAGGGCAGAAAGGCTCTACAGAGGGAACCGGACAGGCTGGATCAATGGGCTGAGGCCAGCTGTGTGACATTCAACAAGGCCAAGTGCCAGGTCCTTCCCTTGGGTCACAACAATCCCAGGCTATGCTAGGCTTATGAAAGAGTAGCTGGAAAGCTGCCCAGTGGAAAATGGACCTCAGCATGCTAGTCAACAGCAGCTGAACATGAGCCAGCCAGTGTCAAAAGTCTTGCTAAAACTGAGATAGACAATATCCACAGCTGTCTCTTCACCTATCCAGGTAGTTGTTTCACCATAGAAGGAAATCAGGTTGGTCAAGCATGATTTACCTTAGTGAATCCATGCTGACTACTCCTGATTACCTTCTTGCCCTCCATGTGGATAGAGACTCTTTCAAAGGATTGAGTCAAGGCTGACTGGCCAGTAGATCCCTGTATCCTCCTTTCTGCCATTTCAGAAGAGCAGGGTGACATTTGCTATTTTCCAGTCCTCAGGCACCTCTTCTCATTGCTGACCTTTCAAAGATGATCAGCAGCAGCATCACTACGATGTCTGCCAGCAATCTTAGCACTTGTGGATGCATCTTGTCAGGGTCCATGGACTTGTGGACGTCCAGGTGTTCTCTAACCCAATCCACCCTGACCAAGGGAAAGTCTTCCTTCCAAGATTCCTTTTCCTTGGTCTCCTGGGTCAGAGATCCCTGAGGGCTAGCCTTGTCAATGAAGACCGATGCAGAGAAGACACTGGCCTCAAGCTGTACCAGGGGAGGTTCAGGTTGGACATCAGGAAGAAATTCTTTACTGAAAGCATTGCCAAGCATTGGAATACAGTGCCAGGGAAGTGATAGAGTCACCACCCCAGGGAGCGTTCAAGAAATGACTAGACATGGCACTTCGTGCTATAGTTTAGTTGACAAGGTTGCATTTGGTCAACGCTTGGATTCCCAGCCTTAATAGTTCTATGAACAGCATGGTCCACATTCAGATAGCCCAGAGCACAACCAGATTAAACATCAGCTACCTGCAGAGAACTGCAAACAGACTGTACTTTGGTCCACTGAAGCTCTGTGCTAGGATTTCTCCTTTTTCATTGGGCAGGGAGTAAGTGACAATAACCTGACTGCATCACATTAGCAGACTACATCCTTCTTTAGACCGGTTCAGTTACTTTTTAAAATATATGTATCTCAGAAGAAAGAGGGCTATGGGTTTATTAATTTCTTTTCTTCTGTCCATGAAGGAATGCAGACAACTGGTGAGTTTTCTATGCCCTTTCTGAACTGTGATGCTCCTCTTGGTTCCCCTGCAAACTAATGTCAGGAAGTCCATAATCTTGTCTGAAACTTGTAATTTCTACTTATACTAAGAAAAAGGCAATAAGCTCAAAAACCATTTGTTATGAGCCAAAAAACAGCAAACAGGGAAGTCAATTAGTAAATAAGGACTGAAAAAACCTCACATACCACAGCCCCCTATTTACGTAATGCACTTGGCAGTTAGAAGTCAAAGCCAAGGCACGCAGTTTGTTAGCCAGAAGGTAGTGCACAGGGTTACAATTTGCTTAGTGAGAAATAGTTCTGGGAAAAGTGCAGCTGATATAAAAAACCCCACCAAAACAACAAAATAAAGAGTCTGCTAACACATTCCCCTCCCTATTCCCCATCCCACCTCTTTTTTAAAACCATAGCAATTGTTGCATTCAACACTATTCACAACCAGCATCAGCAGTAAAACTTATAGCACACAATTAAGCAAAATACTTGTTTTGTGTATTTATTTAAAGAAAATGGTGGTTGGTTTTCTGCTAACCAGAAAGCACATGGTGTTTTGTGTTGAGAGACTTCTCAAAAAAGCCCCAGAAAACAAATCACGCATATGTCTGCTCAAACATACATATATATATGAACACATATCTCTGTAATATGCCCATTATATATATTAAAATGCTTTTAATAATGTGGGAATGTTACTGTGATGGGATATTTTACATTATTCTTCTAAAAATTCTTTTAATTTTCTGAAATTTAGGCCATACAATGCCATTTGTTCAATCCACTGAAAATGCATTCGTTTTGTGGATTCCATGACAGGAGGGATTTAAAAATTGTTACTCCTGCAATCATAACTGCTTTTAGCATCTCAACTGGATTTGTTACAACTTTGTCTTTTTCTTTCATTCTGCAAAGTAGTTTAAAAAAACAGTAATTATCAAGCCCCACTGATACTACCCTGGCATTAAAAGAGAAAAGACCTCTCTCAAGATTTTGTCCAGTGGTTGTAACAGCGATCTTCTACTTGTCTGCACAGTTTTCACACAGATGATCAAAGAATAAAGCTCCTGTCCCATCCCCAGACTCTTTCTGTCCAGTGAAACTCAGGCAATTCATAGAGAAGGCTACAATCCCCTTCCCCAAAGTGCAAACTTCCCTTCATACACAACCTTTTCCTCACATTTTAAAAATTATTCCTACAATGGATGAATGAAAAAAATTTACTCTTGTAAAGAAACCTTCACACTTTTTACCATTATTGTTGGATTACTGCCAACATTAACTTCATCTCATTGATCTATTAGGTACTTCAGAGAAAGTTTTCCTGCTAGCATGTTTTGTGTAGCAGAAACAAACTTCTAGACCTGTTATTGGAGCCTACTTCATAGTGATCATTCTGCTTGTCTGGCTGAACAAAGCTACAATATAACTGCAACAGTACCCTAGCCATTGTACTGAGAGTGGCAAAGACATGTAAGTTCTCGAGACTCATTTAAATAAAATCATTATTAAGAAATTATTTACATAAAATAATTATTGAGAAAAGCACAGAAAACGTTGTTTGTCAAGGTAGGACAGAAATGAAGCATATTTTTTCTTGTCCACGGAGGTGGTGGAGTCACCAACCCTGGAATTATTTAAGAGTCATCTAGACCTGGTGCTGGAAGATATAGTTTAGGATTTAAGGGTTACAGAGAAATGACAGGTTAATGGTTGAACTTTATGATCTTAAAGATCTCTTCCAGGATTGATGATTCTATGATTCTACAGAAAAAGGAAGTGAGGAATTACCTCTTCCACAGGTTACACTGCAGGCTGTCCAGTCTCCATATTGCCAAAAATACTCTGGCTCTCCAATCTCATTTTCATTACTTTCTTCTTTACGTACAGTATATTCATACTTGATTCCAGGGTTAGTTTCTTGAAAAAGTAGCTAAAAAAAAGGTTTGTTTAATTACTTATGGTTTTAATAATCCACTGGCCTAAGACTTCCAAAGCGTGAAACTGGAAGAATTAAAGCAGCCCATTTTCGAGCCTACTACCAGTTCAGAAAAGCAGACTCACAAAATTTCTGTCTGTATGTTGGTAGTGGCATACATGTAACTTTCTAAGGCACAGTTGTTTGCCATGCACTTTTGGAAGCACAGGTGGAAATAAGTGGGTCAGCATTAACTGGCATTCTATTGACTGTAAGAAGAGATAATACAAAGTCCATCCAAAGCATCCATATGCTGCTCATCAGGAGCTACTGCCTATCACCATTACAAATTATAATTTCCCTACCTTCTGAAATAGCTGCTATGAAACAACCATTAGGTCAGAAAATTACAGATGTTATTCAGACACTGCTTTAATATTATTTTTCAGTGTTCTGAATTAAGAAGAAAAACTCCAGCTGAGAAGAGCCACTCAAGAAATTTACCTGAGAGAGAGAAAATAAACATCATCAAGGGATAAAAGACCTCAGCAATGAACTTCTACTCTTCCTCCCAATTGTTTCCTTGTCCTTGTTACTAACAATAAAGATTGAGCACCCATTAGGTGTGTCTTCTCATCAGACATTCAAAGTGCGAAAGTGGCTCCCATCACACCCCTAATACTTTAATTGCATGGTGGATACACAGACAAACAAGCCAAGAGAGATACTTTCAAAGAACAAGGTGTCAATTCAAATTTTTTTTCCAGAATTAACAGAAGCTGGTGAACATGAAGCAACATGAAAGAAACAAAAGAAAGCAGCCTTGGTGGATGCTCAATGAATCATTTCACTTACCATAAGCTATTAATCTAGCTATGTAATGCTGTATTTTCTCACTCAGTAAGAAAACTGTCACTGCTGTCAGCCTTTCCTAGCTCTCACTGTTCAAGCCTGACATCAGTTCCCTTTTTGTGATAACACATTTTTCATCTGGATCTGGTTCACATCACAGCCATGTGTTGGTCTAAGTTGGCACAAGAGACAAAGAAGTTGAGGCGAAGGACTGAACAATTATAGATGGCAGGATCCCTGGCCTGGAGGCAGTACAGGATTAATACTAGCCTTTAATAACCATCAGGCTATGATTCAGGACATGTATTTTTAGGCAGCATGAACAACCCTCAAGCAAGGTGCTTACTGCTTTCCGAAACAGGTCCACCTTTTTTTTGCCAAGACAGCATGCTAATAAAGTGAATTATGTAGTGATGTACAGTTACAGTTTCAGCCTCAGTTTCAGAATCACAGCACATTATGTTGCCATCCAAACTCAGCAGGTTCTGCTAGTGATCTCCTATTTACCTGAATCCATATTGATTCATTGGTGGGTCCTGGAGCAGTCAGATTTTCTAGATCCCCTATTCTGTCATACTGAAATATTGTGCCTGCCACTTTGTATTCACCATTCCACTGGATGATAAAGCCTCCATTCAGGTAGTATTTTTCTGGGTCTTTGCTTCGCACAGCAAGGAAATTTCCTGCTTCTGCAACTTCCATGACTTTGATTCCCCTTGCACCTTTCGGGATTAGCCCAATATCAACATATCCTAAGAGACAAGAAGAGTTCATAGAGGTGAACAACAGAAATGTCATTGCATTTTATTTATTTGTAAGAGTATTAAAATAACAGCTCTGCTTGAAAATACATACAAATGTGCTATCATAGAGCTTTTATTTCAGTTTGTTAATTGTGTGACTTTTCAAGCCAGGTTTTCTAATACCAGTTGGGGAATAGTGTTCAGGCAATGACAGTGGCATTTAGAAGGGATATGGAGGTGAATGACTTTCTGAGTTGTATCAGGGGAAATCGACTCCACGGGTGAGCATCAACATCTCCATAACCACACCCAAGGGCTTTGGCATATTGCAATGTGAGCAAACTGGAGAAATGCCAGGGAGTCCCAGAAAGCTGACAGACCGATGTAGGAAATGTTTTTTCAATTTGCAAAGAACATTTTCCTCTGTCACCAACATACAGGTATGTACATAATTCCAGGTACCTTCTCTTAAGTAATTTAACTTCTCTATGATTGTTTCTTATAGATAGCCTTACAAAAACAACAACAAAAATAATTCAAATGCCACGAATTACTACAACAAACTGAACACATTTTTATAAATTACTGATTTTCATAACAAAGTACAAGGGCTCTTCATGTGTAAAGTTACCTGCTAAGAGATTTTCAATCTGTGTGTTAAGAATGAGCCCAGAGCATCAATTACAGAGTTTTGTTCACACCACAGGCCATATATGACATCAAACTCTGTGCTTCTCACCTTACAGGGAACTGCTAGTGCTATTGAATTGCAAAACCAGGAAGTTCAGATAGAAATTTGAACACAAACTCAGATAGCTTTCTTGCTATTGCTCCTGACTGGGCTTTAAAAATTGGATGGATGACATCTGTACAAGCTGCTGCACTGGAGTGTGAGCTGCAGTACATGCTGGTTTACTTCTAGACTGCAACATGAGTGGCTCTCCAGTTGTGATCACACACTACTCAGAATTAAATTCTGAGGCTCACATCCTGTTCACCTTTCTTGTGAAATAAGCTTATCACCTTTGATTACTCACTTACATGAGTGAGATAAACCACACTGAGCATACTAAGCAATGTTCAGTATCAATGTTCTCCACCTACCAGAGCTACTTGTATGCTGTACAACAACCTGCTGTTGTACATAAGCACACCTTTAACACCTGATTTTTCCTTGCAGCTCCCTTGTAGGGTAATAAATATTGCTTAAAACGTCACATGTTGCTTATGGTACAAAATAGGATCTGTCTACTTCAGGACCTTCCTCACTGCCTTAATAATATATAATTACATATATAGATGTCCAGTTATTGATGTGCAAGAGGGAAAGTTTTCTGGATGTTACCTTTTGCCAGTCTCCTAGACTGACTGTGGAAATCCAAACATTTTGGTCCTTCACAAGTGAGTGAAATAACAAGATCTGGAGGCTCACAGAATAACTTCTATTATTCAGGAAATCAGCAGTCTAGGTCTATTGTAAGTAACCAAGTCTAATGATTCTCCCAAATGTCCTATTCACTCACTGCAGAGAAGATATGTTATGAACACAGTGTGTGATTGTGTAACTAAAGACTTTATTAGAAGGCATACTTATAACTGGGCCAAATTAACACAGCATGGAAAATCTTAATTGTGTCATGTCCTGACAGCTTGGCTTTGCAATGCTGGTGTCCTTCTACAGTAGTTTTGGGGTTTTTTTTCAGATGTAATCAGTATAACATTTGTTCAAACCCCAAAGTATAAAAACAATAAAACACAATTTTCTTTTTGCTGCAACATAAAAATCTGTATCCTTTCCAGATTTTGCATAGTTATTTTTGTCTGAATCACTTGCAGTTGCTCACAAACCTGATTTTAAATGTAATGCAACTGTATGGTTTACAGATGTTGCCATTTGGTCAGCATATCACAGTGCCTTCTCCCTGGCACTCCCTTTTTTCACCAGTTAATTACCTCTTGATTTCCCAGAGCCTCACTGCTTCCAAATTATCTGATTCTGAAAACAAAGCTAATCAGCAGCAAGCTTTTGAGTTTCTCAATATAATAAAATTTCATTTTAAAATTACATGCATGGTGGTTATCTAACTGTTATATAGTTTCAACTGATAAGGATCTACAGATCCAAGTTTCAATAACAGTCAAAACATCAGCTGTCTTACCTACATGCTGCGTTCATTAAATCCTGGAGCAACCCTACTGTGGGTGCTTCTGCACATCTGTGAATTGGCAACTCCTGAGAGGCTATCAATCCTTCCCTTTTTAGTGAACATTAAATCTATATGCTCCTCACACAGACATGAATACATGAAACCCTTGTTGTAGGCACAGATCTACCAGGACTGAACAGCTTCTTTTTCTTTTGCCATTGCTATGAGAGAGGAGTAATTTTATTCATGCCGTTGGCACGGCACAGCACTGCAGATCAGAAAATAACCACATCTGACTAATTCTCCTTATCACAACAGCTCCTATTCTTGCTCTCCAGTTTGCAGTACCTCCAAGTCTCTCTCTCTTAAAAATACACGTTCCCGTGACACAATTTTCTCTATGCCAAGCTCTAAAACACTACCACAAGAATATTATGGTGAAAACAGCACACGCTCCCAGTGGCTTATCAGGTTTGCAAGTCAATGCGTGGTTGCACAGAGCCTTTCATAGGCATAGAAGTTGTGTTGAAGCGTGTGATGGCAATGGGGAAAAAATTATAGTCCAGAGACAGTTTTGTAAGTGAGGATCCAGGAGACCTTACAGTCTCTCAGATCAGTATTTACTTCATGGCTACATCCAGACTCCATTTCGGAGCTAGGTGCAGGAATGTACCAGATCTCTGTCTGCACTTTGGGTGCATGAAAAGGAAACTGGGGTAGCAGGGAGACCACGGCACGTATCTATTCAGTCCCAGCCAAGTCAGGAGGCAACAGAAAGTGGATAAGACTCCAGGTTAGGGTGAGTTCAATAACAGTTTCCTTGTTTGCCAATCACTTTGCTGAAATGCAGCCCTTCACAGGAGTGCATGCACATTATCTCGCCTTCTGACTGGCAGAGTGAGACACCTCTATCCCTATTGTATATTCAATCATTTCCTACTTTTCATAAATTTTAAAGCCTTGTCCCCTTACTACTGAAAGTTGGAAAATTCATTTGCCATTACACACACAAAAGGGGGAAGACAAGATGATTACCCATCCTCCTGACCACCACTCATTTCCTAGACACACCTCCATCCTCAGTAGATCCCTTTGTCTAATCCTCACAACTTCATTCTCCCTATTTGTTGTCCATTTACTCCACACTCCCTGCACTTTACAGTCCTAAATCCCCTTGTGCCTCAGTTTTTCTCCTACCCCAATGCTTCTCCTTGACCAGCAGTGCAATTTACTCTCCATCCAAGGAGTTTGCACACCTTACAAATGTTCTGCTGCACACAGTTTTACAGTCTGGGATTTTGACTTTTACATACTCTATCTCAAAATAAAAGCAGAATTCTTCTACCTTAACAACAGGAGAGCTTATAACTTCTTTGCCCATGCCTACACCTTCTTGCTTTTTCATTCCCTGCTCATGCTGCAACCTTTCTGCCATCAGAGTTCAGCTGAAGCAACTTAATGATTTTCAAACAAACCACCTGAAAACAAAGTGCAGACTAGGTACTTATTAATATTAGTGTCAACAGCTGAGACCATGTGTGCACATCAGGCCTCTGACTTGTTTTCCCTCCGGAAAACTCTAATGGAATCCATTATATAGATGATGCTGCCATTCCTGTGGCTCTGTTGGAAGCCCCTGCATCTCAATTCTCATTTTGCAACCATGGGAAAGACAAAGAAATTTAAAGAAAATGCAAGTAATCATACAGACCTTAAATTCTTTCTGAACATGAGGCAGGAAGACTCCAGGTAAAACCCATCACCCTTCCCTGCAGCCTTTCCCTGCAGTGAAAGGCTGAATTATCACGACTCCCTTCCTAGCACGTCATTAGTCTGATGTGGCAACTTAATCGACTTGCAGACAGAATACATACTACTGCAACACTAGACCCAAGAAAGGCCCTGTTGAGCTTAGGTTCTGAAGAAAGATTTAAATCAGAATATATTAGCTTTGATTTTTTATTTTCAATGCCACTTAACATTGAAAAATTCTTCAAATCATTTTTTGGCCAATGACTCCAGCATGCTTTGGTACAGTTTTGCTGCCTATACTGAATTTATGAACCTGAAGGTTTTATG